ATCTATAACTCTTAAACTACAATAAATGCATTTTTTGACAGTTTAACACCTTTTTTTCTTCTTTGTCTATAGTGACAAAATTACGAGGGTTGTTAGAATACTAATATACTAGTATGGATTTATCCAATTTATTTAACTGATGTTTTAAAATGATTGTATACAGAATAAACTAATCCATGTTTAGGTATATAGCGGCAAACTACAAGCTGATCAACAGGAAAGTATAAAACATTTTAATTATCATTGCATGTATCATATTTGTTTCAGTTTTCGACACTTATCAAACAATGTACATAATGAGGATAAAAGCTTTTTCCGGTTTCCTACCGAAATAAAACTATTGAAGTAGATATATCCTTGATCATATATATATACCGTTACACAGATAGTGACTGTTTCGGTCGCATAACTTATTATTTCAGAAAATATAATACCTTTCTAGGTATTATAATAACAAAAGAGTGTTAAGGAAGAAAATACTTAACTAACATTCTCATTGTCATTAATTGAAGATCAACATTTCACCTTTAAAGTGATTTATAAGCATCCGAATGTTTTCATTTATATACATGTATATATTATATATATATTATGTATACTAAAGGTACTTAACCTGTATGCCTCCAGAATAGCCATAATATTTCAAGAAAATCAATGTTGAGAAAAATATTGAGAAAAAATTTAAATCAAAGCACTGAAAGCACTGAGGTATACATTGCTTGATAATACAATCCATTTTTGTCAAGGCCATGTTGATTTTAACCTACTGACCTCAAAATCAATAGGGGTCATCTTCTGCCTAAGGTTGATGTCCATAACAAGAGACTTAAACTAAGGCTTATTTCTTCCAAAGTTATTAATGAGACAAGGAAGAGGTGATGTTTCAACAGACTAGGGCCAGATGAAAAATTAAAGAAAGCCGTTTATTGACTGCAGTATAGAATATTGAAACAGTAATATTGAGTCTTCAGTGATGCTATCTAATGAAAGTCATGACCTGGCTTGAACTCTATACAAAGTCAATTAATTGAATCATCCTACAATACTTAATTACCAAATTTAAGTACATCCTTTTGTATAGCTTTAAATGTTACAGATTTATGTACTGTAATTTGATGCAATAATATTTATATTCTTGTGTGCTGTATTCATCATTTTCAAATTAATTACTTTATCATTTAATATTTCATTAATAAAATGAAATCTATTATCAAATCAATTCAGATGTACTTAAATATTTTCATTATTCAATAATTGTTACATGATTCCTGAGGACCATTTAGTGCAGTGAAGTACAACGAGCCTGTGATATGCACTATAAGGGACAGTACTGATCACTCCTGTGCAATTAAATTGAAATCCCTTCTGCAGTTTGACCTGACAGAAAGACAAGATTTTTTATATTTTTAGCTATTGTGGCCATTTTGTGCAGCATACATACTGATCACTCATGGAGTCATGTGAAGTCTTGATCACTCCTATGAAGTTTCAGTGAAATCTCACCAGCAGTATGACCTGTGAATGTCGGACAAGATTTTTCTTTTTTTAGCTCTGGTGGGTGTCTTGTGCTGCCAAACAGAATGAGCTGGCAATATGCACAACTAAGGATGGTACTGATCACTTCTGCAAACTTTCATAGAAATTCCGCCAGTAATTTGAACTATGAAAGCCGGACAAGATTTTTCTAATTTTAGCTCTGGCGGCCATTTTGTGCAGCAAAGGAGAAAGTGCCGGCAGTATGCATAACTTGGAAAGTACTGATCACTTATTTAAAGTTTCATTGAAATCCCCTGTGCAGTTTGACGTACGAAAGTCGGACAAGATATTTTCTATTTTTAGCTCTGGCGGCCATTTTGTGCAACGAAGAGGAACATGCGGGCGATATGCACAACTAAGTATGGTACTGAACACACTTGTGATGCAGTTTGACCTGTGGAAGCCAGATAAGCTTAATGCAGGCACAATTTACGGCACAAATCAGCCACCATAAAATCAAGTGCACAAATTTATTCGAGTACATGCAAAAATCTGCTATATTAAAATTCTGTGGTCAGGTTGGCTGTGTTCAGGACCCTGAGGTGGAGACCAGTGCCCCTCCTTTACAAAAAATAACTTTACAATCTATGCACATATTAGAATTAATCAAAATAATAATTCAGTATATGACATTTTTGCAACTACATGTATATATTTTGCTAGACATTTTCTTTCCCTTAGAACACTACTGATCTCCTGGCAGCTAAGAAAGTTGCAGTTACAGATGCCTATATAAAATACAGGAAATTCAAACCTGCCCCAAAGTTAAAGAAAAAATCATGACACTTTTTACAATATTCAAATAAGTTAATTACTTTATTATCCATAAAATCATTAGCTAGCTAAGACTCAGGGTAAAGAATAATTGCATGGGCAGTCAAATCAAAGCTATTAATATTAAGAGAGTTGACTTGGGATCCTCCTAGAGCATGTTGAAGTATGACCAACAACACCAAAATTTTTTTAAATTAATTGTTTAGATAAATGTTCAGTTTTCAAGCAATTTAGCATAAATAATATTCTAAGTTCCCTTAAAACCTAAAATATCAATAACTGAAAAAATGAGTTCTGAAGATCTCACATAACTGACCAGAGCTGTAAATAAATAAAAATAAATTTCCAAGCTTTATCAACCAAACATATTCCCCATGACTGACCAGATATGTAAATAAATAAAAATAAAGTCCCTAGCTGTATCAACAAAACATATTCTATCTTTTCAATTGATAAATTGCCTACATAATAGTGTTTATCCAAACTAGACTACATGTTTGTCTGTATATCCCCCATTTAGCATATTTGCCCAACTGGAGCTACCTAGGTTAATTAATGATATATGCATTTTGAAGTGTTTACCTTTATTGATTTACCATAATAGGTTTTAAAGGCAAATATGGGCTCAAATAAAAAAATATGTTACAGTATAGAACTGTTATCTTAAATTGTGGGGATGTGCGACAGCCAGACAGCTCAGCCAGTTACAACCCCATATAGTATTCTGAGGGTTCCGGGTTTGATTCCGGTCACTAGAATACACAGTTTTCTTAACCTATGTTATTTGGCCCAAATGTTGGGACATGATGGTAGATACTTCATAGCTGTAAAAGGTTCTTTGTACTGCTGTAAAAAAATTGTGGGGATATTTCAATATGGTAGGGATTCCACAGTATAAAATTAGGGGAGAAGAATGTATGAAACCTGGTTATAGGTCAATGGGTAAGAGAAGCAGAATAGATTCAATGTTTTCCAGCTTTGATTCCAAGTCAGATTGCACATTTTTCTCACCATGTTACTATTGGGGCCCAACATGAGTCTATGGCGGTATATAACTCTCAAGTCAATTCACTTTGTTAGTTTAGTGCAAAGGGACCCGGCACAGTGTTGGGATAGTGTAAAAAAATAATTCTAGAAATTGTTTTATATACTTTATATTTACAAGTAGAAAATCGAGTGGGGGAAGGTTGCACGGTTGTGTCCGACATAGCAAAATACGATGTTTCATACAAAATATCGGTTTGTTGTTCAAAAACGATTTAAGTGGGGACAGTAATGTCCGAATTTGCTGAATAATTAAGAAACGATGGCCTTTCAATACAACTACATTCCCTGCACTCATATTCATATTCCTATCTGACATGATAAATTCCATTTAAGTATCTACAGAAATATCCAACACTTTGTTTAACTCTTGTGTCACAAGGTGTGTAAATGTGGAAAGTTCTATGACCATGAACAAGGATTGCAAAATCTACCATCATGTACTACTAATTTCTACAGGCCTCGACATCAGCGGTGGTCCATTGGTCCGTGACCACCTGATTTTGGCAAGGACCACCTGATTTTACAGGCAACTGGTCCGTTAGACCACTTGATTTTTCCAAATGGTGCAGGGCTCATCTGGGAGAATGGTTATTTGGTCGAAAAACGTGCTCTATAATTGTTGTTTAAAACCATTTCACCGATGTACAGGTACATGTATATGTTCATTCATCTCATTTGTTCAAAAGATCTGAAGACATCCATAACTTTTTATTAACTCGCTTACAGCGTAGTTAAAAAAGTAGGAAAATATTTTAAAAATTAAAGTATAAAATTCATTCAAATGTCTCTAGTACTGCATTGAATTTATAACTTTGTATCACTATGGGATATCGGATAAACACATGAATAATGGTGCAAACAAAGGCAAAGGAAAAATTAAATATCTAGTAATCTTTGGCTACTTTTTCTTCTTATTTAAAGTACTTTAAAAGGTTATAAATACTTTGTCAAAAATAAATAAATATCAACAAACAAGCATGTATAATAAATCTGTGAGGAAAATAAGCTCAATTATAATGTAGGGATTTTTCTGTTTATCATTAATATTTCATTGTTTCAAAGACAAGAATATAATAACTTAATAGTTTAAATCTATAAAAAGCAATTATTATTCTTATAAGATGTACCATGAAACAGCAATGAGTATTTGAATAACAGTAAGGAAATAAGTCATTCACAAATGGTTTCACTATTCCCTAACTTGAGTTGCGGAAGAAGTCACTTAACCGAAGTATGAGTACTGTCATGTATTTTTCAATGAGATAATAAATACTAAATAGGATTACAATGACTTACTATCTGATCTAAGATTGAAATAAAAAAAAATGCATGTTTTCTTCAGTTGTTATAAATCTAATAATAAATATGTCTCTGTCACCAATTTTAAGTGTAGTTCTTCTAAATCTTAAGTTTCCTTAAAAAGAAATGAGTAAAAAAAAGATGGACCACCTGTGTACAGAAAGGACCACCTGAATTTTGGATCCAGTGGTCCGGCATACCACATCTGAAAAAGTTAGTGTCGATATGTTCTACCACAATCTACCATCGTGTACTACTACTCTCCACCATACTCTCCACTATTACCATCTACCATCGTGTACTACTACTCTCCACCATACTCTCCACTATTACCATCTACCATCATGTACTACTACTCTCCACCATACTCTCCACTATTACCATCTACCATCATGTACTACTACTCTCCACCATACTCTCCACTATTACCATCTACCATCATGTACTACTACTCTCCACCATACTCTCCACTATTACCATCTACCATCGTGTACTACTACTCTCCACCATACTCTCCACTTTTACCATCTACCATCATGTACTACTATTCTCCACCATACTCTCCACTATTACCATCTACCATCATGTACTACTACTCTCCACCATACTCTCCACTATTACCATCTACCATCATGTACTACTACCATCTAGCACCAATTGATACAACTAAATTTTTTTCTGAATTTTGATAGTATTTTCTTACTATTGTCATTTATTTATGGAAAGGATTCATACTAGTTTCACAAGACAGACCTGCGGTGGCACAAAGATGACATGTGTGTGTGTGTGTGTGTGTGTGTGCGTTTTTATTTATCTCGTGTGCACGAGATACTATATGTCGTGGCCATATGACCCAATGACCTCGAAATTATTAGATGTCATCTACTGATCAGGTGGAAGGTGACTTTTTAATATGATCCCAAAGACAAGTTCAAAGTGAATGTCTTCAGTATTTTCAAAGATTGATGTTGCATGTCAAAGTAAGTTGTTAAGTTTAAAAAAAATCATAATATATATATAGTGTATTCTGATTGGTATATTATCTCGTGGCCAAGACTTAGCTATCTCGTGGCCACGACTTAGTAACTCGTGGCCACGACATAGTATCTCGTGGCCACAACTTAGCTTTCTCGTGGCCACGAGTTAGTATCTCGTGGCCACGACTTAGTAACTCAGGGCTACGATAAAGTAACTCGTGGCCACGACTAAGTAACCCATGGCCACGACATTGTATCTCGTGACCACGAGATAACTATCTCGTGGCAACGACTTAGTATCTCGTGGCCACGACTTAGTAACTCGTGGCCACGATAAAGAAACTCGTGGCCACGACAAAGTAACCCGTGGCCACGACATAGCTATTTCGTGGCCACGACTTAGTATCTCGTGGCCACGACATAGTATTTCCTGGCCACGAGATAAAAAAATACACACATGTTACTTTTGTGCCACCGTAGAGACCTATTATAATTATAAAACGTGTCTTTGTTTGGTTTTAGAAAAAGTTAAAAGTCAAGCGTTGTTCCCTGCCGGCGGTGGCTCTTGTGTTTTTTTTTGTTTTTTTTGTGAAATAGACTCATTCCTAATGATTCTGATTTGAAAAGAAATATTCCAAATATTGTTTACCCAACAGGAGCTTCAGTGTTTCTTACGTGAAGATAGTATTTCAATTCTATATATAGGTTAAAAGTAAAAGTAAGTTGTTAAGTTTAAAAAATTCATAATATAGATAGTTTATTCTGATTGGTAAATTATCTCGTGGCCTCGTGGCCTTTCAATTTTATAAACGAGAAATATCTCACGTGGCTAACGGAAATTTCTATAGCGAAATTTTCCTCCATAAAATGAGTGGAGCAGTCTTTTTATATTTTAGGCAGATATATATCTTATCAATACATCAAGTGTTATGGAAGTGGTACAGAATTGCCTGTTTTATACAATCTCAACCCGCGAACCCGTCAATTTTTTTCTTTTCGGACATTTTTATTGGAACTATATACCAGGCTTAACATCTTTGACCCTGGAGTTAATCGTCCTGGCAAGGATGCGACATCGTTAAGAAAAGTCTTACGTATGTGCTTTACATAAATTGTTTCCGGTTGTATCAGTGTATTAAATACCATGAGACCAGAAGTCAGGAAAGAAACTGTTCCATTTTTACAAACAGCAAATCTGGAAAAACAGTCACGGCCAGAGTTTTCTTGTAATATATAATTTTGATTTGTTACATCACACTGTGATTCTACACTAAGTTCACGTATTGTTTTGAAACCCCGCATAGTCAGTTTATGATTATTTTGTCTCGCATCGGTTACTGAGCTGAAAGCAAACTTGAAGAACATCAAAATCAAAATAACGTATGGAAAACATTTCTCGTAGTTCAAAATTATACCTAGCATTGTTAGAAGATTGCATTGGATGTAAAACATCACACCAATACCATTTAAGCACATTACAAACACAAGGTCTGTTAATCCATGGTTATTCTTGTCACGCTTTACGTTCTATGGTTCACTAACAAGGGTCTTTTTAATGCGAAGTATAACTAAAGGTGTAATTATTAGTGACATTAACATAAAAATAAGGGAAATGACTGCCAATGCTTTATTGGTGCCAAGAAAAGCAAAGACAAGGTTTGGCATATTAAAGATGAAGATTACAAGAAAGATAAGCACTGCTGCAAGACTGTCGGGCAATGTTGAAGACAAAAATTTCTTAGCAGCTGGAAACAGGAATGTTAATGTAGATGGAAGGGGAAAAGTTTCTGGTTGCAGATGTTTGTTGTCTACTAAGTAAGAAAAAATTTGTGCGTTTAACCGATAAGTAAGCGTTTTATTTTTACTGATATCCAACGGGCCGTCGGAAATACATTTAAGTAGCTTTTCTCGAAACTTTAGCAAGCAGTCGGTTGTGACTGACAGAAACCTTTTCAAACTAATTTCTATACTTCAATGTATCTCGATCTTTCGATATAGCAACTCGTACATAAAAACTGGCGTCGTTTAAACTGAATGCATGTTTTTCACAATCCTCGTCATTTAAGTATTTTAGAATTAACTTTGCAATCTGAATTACGAGCACAATTGAAGCTATAGACACAAAATATACGAGGAGTATCATAATTGTAAAGTTTTCTGAAGGAAATTCACAAGTTACGTTTATTTTATCCACTGAAAGTTTACAACAGTATGCATTAGAATTTACTGTGCGAGTACAAATGTAAATCGTATCTTTTCTGTCTTTATTTCTAGTATCCACCTTGGGGGGGGTTTGGTTCTGCAAGCGACAAAACCATGTGCTGTAGTAGCTTTTCAACGTCGGCAGAAGTAGCATTTCCTAAGCACTCATCTGGCTCTTGGTGAATGTGAAGATGAATTTGGGCAATTCCAAACGATAATGTTCCTAAAGAGAGTATTGTGTAATTTTCAGGCAAAATTAGTAAACGCTTTCCAGAGTCTGTGATGGGTAACAGCCATTGCAGTGAAGAAGTGTAGGACCTATTTGCAGCTGATGAGTTAGATTCTATAGTAATCTCTAATTCTATCAAACGATTGTTTTTATTGATTACCTGTCCAAGTTCTGCAACCGTTTCTTCAAACGCGGGTTTAAGGGAACAAATGTAAACGTCCGAATTGGCTGAATAATTAAAAAACAATGGTCTGTCAATACAATTACATTCTCTACACTCAATGAATTGAAAGCATACGCATAGCAATATGAATTTACTAACTAGAGAGTGGTTCATATTCCTATCTGACATGATATATTCCATTTTAGTATCTACAGAAATATCCAACACTTTTTTTTTCTTTGCGTATCAAATGGTTAACTATTGTTTCTCACTAACCAGATAGAAAAATCCTTAAATGTTACTAAAAATAGCGGTGTTGGAAAATCTTATCTCACATGGGCTTATCTCACACTCAACGTGCAGCACTTCTAAATAATACGCGATTCACTCCTATTTTAACAAAAATGAAACGTCAAAAGTTCAAAATGTATTAAAAATTTGTGAGCTAATCTATTAAATTGTCTACGGAATCAAAATAGATTGATATTAACTTTCACACTGCAATGAGTCCTACTCTACCTAGGTCCGCCCTTTTCCATAACGATCTGTTACTAAAAATAGCACACTTTAAAATATCGAAACATTCTTCGTAAAATCGGATATTACAAGTACAAATGTTGCTGCAATGCAGCAATTGAGAAGCTCCGCGCAAAAAATGTGCTTATTACAGATACCTTACCAAATTATTCATACGCACAGGTCATGTTATATTCAGATTAAGTACTATTGTAGATTGTTTCCGAATGTTTTGTAAACCATTTTTTTCATAATTATACTTATCTTATGCACTGTCTATAACTGTCCATCGTTAAAAAGAGTGGACAAATATTTAATATAAAAAATGCTTTCACTAATGCCTACTTGGTAAGAAAAGTAATTCCACTGAATACAAACAAGACTTACAAGACTTGTAAATGTTATGTGACATGACTGTACTGTGTTCTGTTTCAGTAAAACAGAAGATAGATGATAGAAATATCTAAGTCTGTTTAATTGTAAACAAATATACAAATAGTAACAAAAGAGACTAATATTATAATATAGTAATATTACATATATATTTTTTTTCATGTCAAATTGAAAAAATGGTTTCTTTCAATACTGAAAGTAGAACACACTCTGGAATGAAAAAAATGGGATGAATTTCCAAAAGACCAAATTCAGGATTTTTTTGTTTGTTATACACGCGTTACAATGGTGATACAGTATTTATCAATATAATAGAAGACTGTTACCCGAATTTAAGGTAGATATGAGGAAATTCACTTGTATCATATTCATGCGAGACAAAGATATGAAAGCTATTTGACATTGGTAATATATAAAAAAAACTATTGGTAATTAATTTTTAGGGAGATCAATATATATTTTATGTTGAATTGCTTTAAAACCATTCATAAAAAAACCATTACACTTCATGTTCAAACTGCAGATCAATGTTTCTCTGTTGTTGTCATGATAATCTAATCTATAAGCCTATGCTTAAGGTGATTCAGCTTTGTCAGTCATGTTTGTTTTAACTAAAGTCTGTCCAAAGTGAAAGTAGGCCAAAATTCATATAACAACAAAGCTCTTATTGTACAATGATGAACCATTTGAAAATACACTTCCAGGTTTATACTTTAAGACAATTATAAACTAAAATAAAAAATGATAACAATAAGAACATTCACCTTGAATGTGCCACATTTCTGAAGACCAAACATTCTGTTGCAAAGTTTTATGCACATTTCATGAATTGCAAAATCCTTTTAAAAGTCTGTTTTAAGTGCAAACAAAAAGCTTTTTTGCAGCAAATACTAAAATCTTTTTAAAACTTAAAACTCCAAAAAAACAGTATCTCATGTCCTTCTAAGCACATGGCCTCCATTATTTTTTTGTAAAAAAGTAGTGCAAGAAAACAATCATCATTTATAGCCTTATGAACCACAATTAAAAAGAAAACACAATCAAACTTTAAAATCTAACCTTTTTTATGTGTAACAGTAAAGTGTGTCTTTGTCATGCACACAAGAAATAGTAAATGATGTTTATTTCATGGTACTAACTTTTTTATACATGTCATGGAGGCCATGTTTTTTCAAGGTCAGATTAACTACTATCCTAAGATTTATGTTT